AACACTATTAATAACGACAAAATTGGTGGGTTAAAGGTATAATCAAATAAATACCTTCATATTTTTCTATATTCAGGTCTGAAAACCTGAATATAGAAAAAATTGTTAATCACACTCAATCCATTTTATTTTATACTTAAAGAAATTCTTGAATTGTGAAAGTTAATGCGATTCGCTAGCTGAATTAATCGTTTAAGACATTTGGCTCGGGTCCGCCCAGTGTCGCTCTTTAGCAAGACACGCTTTGGCGTATGGAAACCATACTAATGAAATCATCTTACAAATAATGGTCTTATGTACGCCTATTCTGGGCTGTGAAGGCCGAAAAGATAATGTTTCGAAAGGGCTAATCCAACTTACATCGCTTATCATTGAAGAACAATAATATAAAAATATTCTCTTACAAGGCATTCAATTTTTTTATGAAATGTGTAATTAAATGTCAAATTTAAAAAACCGAATCGTATACGACGTTCGACTTCGAATAAGGAAGAGTAGCTATAATGCTTTATTTTGTTTGCAAATATAAAACCAAATTAATTTCAAAAAGATACAAAGGAAAAACTGCATCTTGGATGCCGTAGTGAAGTAAATAGCGATGTTCTTGCTGATCCAGATGTTCTAGGCAGGCCCACGGCTCGTTATCGGCCAATTGGTTAAACTAGCATTCACCCGCAATAATTTGAGGCGAACACTACACGAAGGGGACGTCGCTGGAAATCCAGCATCGGCTTTAGCCTCCAACGACCTGGCCCGGAGGACCGCAACTCGACCCACATCTCCCTGGATTCGCGTCCGAGGTTTGACCGGAACGGCGACCGTTACCGACAATTATACAAGTAACAACCTGGAGGTGAGGTGCAGTTACGAAAGGGTTCATGTGAGTTGCAGGATTCGGAATTTACTCATGGGCTCAACATCCGTTTTCGATCCGAAATGACAGTTGCTGTGGGTCGGATTGAACCTCTACCTCCAGGAAACATAATTTGTTCGGCATTTTCTTTTGAAGCCCAAAATTTGTCTTTTTTTCACTCTTGAGGAAGTGGGCCATTGCCCGAAAAAAGGGGTTAATTTGACGGATCTGGCCCGGATTGTAGGGAGAAAAAAGAAAAAATAGCCACTAAAGCCCAGCTCTCGCTGCGTTATGTAAATAATTTTTTTTCCGAGATAAGAAACGCTGTGTTCGTGTGTAACGAATGAGGAACGGATAATTTAATTTTTTCTTCAAAAGTTACCACCTTCGCAAAACCTCTCATTCAGGGTTATCATTTGGTTATTGCAGATTTGCTATTTTCTCTTAGCAAGAAATTCAGCCTAATTTCCTGCAAGCAATAAAGGTGCAAAAATAGGCTTTTTCCTTCAAAAAATCATTTTTTCTCATTTTACAAGTTATACTATCAAAACATGGATAATGTTTGCAATGTGACAAGTGACTGTAATAATTGGGGATTGTTGTACAGTTCATCAATATGAATAATCTGATAATTTGTTTAATAAGTATGATTTCGAAACATCAGAATCTGCCATTGTTCATTGTTTAATTTTGTAGAAAAAAAAATTAATTCAGGAGACTGCATGAAATCATAGGTTAAAATATAGATGAAATTTTTCCATTTATCATTCGTACGATGATAGGCAGAACTGTCGTATCACTTCTTCTTCTTCTTCTTATTATTATTATTATTATAATCTTTATTTTAATTGACCTTAGAGAAGCGAAATTGTGATAATGTCGAAAGGCAGCCCTTCTTAATGAGCCTTGGATGGATCGAGCTGAGGCTGTGTACCGCTACATTCCAGACGAATAAATTAGGTGCGTAAGGGCACACCAGCTGGCCCTATGAGTACAATTGTATTTGTCGTTTTCGAAAGTACTAAATCAATTTGATCAAAAAGGCAATTTTCTCTTCCTGAAAACAAAATAAAAAAAGATCTATTTTGTAAAATTTACTTAGTTTTTTTTCTAATTGAAATCTTTGGTCTTTCCTTTTATCGCTAATTCTTCGTTACCAATCATCTAACATTAATATTTTATTAAATTGTGCATTTTTTGTACCTTCGCATAGCCTGGAGAAACGATTAGTCTTAGTTTCATATTTACCATAAATATGTAGTCCGAACCTTTCATCTTGCAGCATTGACATTAAATCCATCCACGATATTTTTTTTAATAAAAAAAAGAAAAACATTGAAATAAAAGTCACAAATAACCGTAAAAAACATCGTAATAAAATTAATCCATAAATGTGTTTTTTAGTCATGATTGGCTGTATAAATTATTTAAGTTAATTGTACTTTTTTCTAAGTCTTGGTTAAGATGTGAGATGTAATCCCTCTAGTGTCGTGGGTGGGATTCGAACCCACGACTTTCGGCTCAATTCGCCGCTACTCTAACCACTTCAGCTATGGTGTTTTCATTGTAAGAAATGTTAAGTCAGAAATAATCGTTGTCTCTTTTTGGTTTTAAAACTGGTTGGTAAAATTGTGTTTGCTTTAACGTTACAATACGATAAAAATTTATAATCATTTTAGTCTTCCAATTCGATCGTCATACGCATCAACTTAACCAGACTGTTAATAAGTCGCCTAATAGGCAAAGTTTGAAAGGCTAAGTAATGGTGAACTGAAAGTTGATAATAGGGATTAAAAGCGCCCCATTTTCACGGAAGTTGTCTCAGGGTCCACTTACAGACACTTTTGGCTTTTTCGTCATGTTTCCGCCCTTTCCCTTACATTAAACTATGTCGACATATTTTTTTTTTAAATTGAAGTTCAAAAAAATATGGGACTGTAGCCCAGTAGTTGGAACATCTGATTCTCGGCTCATTGGTCGTGGGTTCGATTCGCCTCTTGAATTCCTGTCACTTCAACCCGAAAAAAATTATTTTAATGAATTTATTTACTGGCTTAAGATACAAATACGTCCAATGGTCTTCTAACAACTACTTACTAAATTTTTGACAAATACTTTCTTACTTGTTTTAACTAATATTTATAGTTTTTCAAGAATTTATAATACAAACCCAAATATCTGTTGGTTCAGTAAGAATGTTTTGAAGGATTTACGCTCTTAAGGGTTTCAGGTGTCACCTCTTATCTGATAACTTTGTAGGAAGAATTGTTCTAAATGCTTTATGTATGTCGTGTTTTAGTTTATTCTCCTATTTTTCTATGAATATAATTTATTTTTTTTCCGTTCCATTTTACATTCACCACTCATTGCAAGAAGGCTCCCTTCCTTTACAGATGTCCTCAATGATCCTTGCATTTATAAAATTCCTTTTAATCCTTCTTAGTTCAATTGATTATGTTTTAAACCGAGAAAGGTTCAAATCGGTTCTCAACCCTCCGGAAATGACACACAGGGCATTTTAACAATTCCTATAACGCACTTCCAGCACTTATTGGCCAATTCTTCGTTAAAAGACGGCCTTGTGACGATGTGGCGCTTTTCCTCGTCCCATGTACAGAGGTGACCTCGTGAATAATAAAATAGGGGCGCCAACTCATTTTTGAACCACCGTGGATATTCCGGGGCGATTTCCTTAAAAAGAACGAAAAAAGGAACACTTTTGTCCTGGCCACACAAAAATTTTAAATTTCATCGTGTGACTATGTCTAAAAAGTCGTAAAAATTAGTATCTACACTGGTTATTTATACAAAAAGAAATTAAAATGTAAATTTAATTCCGAATTTAAAAAAGTCCCAGCATTACAAATTAAAAGTCATAGAAAAATTCTATTGTCACCAACCATCCGGCTGGGTGGGTTAACCTGTTGCTGGTTACCTGAAGAAATTCATTTGCATCATTTCCTTATTGGTGGCACTGGAAGAATTCCATGAGCAGGGCTGGAATAGAGAGTAGTTTACAACGTCACACACACATATACATATGTGTTTTTTTAGTCATCCTCCTTTCCCGCCGTTCCTGAGGTAGACCGGCAGACCCACCATACTTTAAACTTATTTCAAGGGATATTTGTAATTTATGACTAAACTTTCCTCCTATTTGCTAGCTGATTGCTGATAAATTAAGAGAAGGAAAGGACTTATTAAAAAGAAAGATTTTAATTAAACGCCAAATTGTTACTTTTTCTTGAATGCCAGTATGAAGGCAGAAAAAATCAGCAAACGAAAGTTTATATTTTATCGAAAAATGGCCAATAAAATCTTTTCTTTAAAACCGAAAAAAGTAAAGTTCTGCTGATCACAAGAAAGATTTTTCCAATAACATAAATAATTTTTTGGGTAAATTACTGCAAGAAGTAGGTAACCCGAAATATCTTGGGGTGGAAATTTCATTGCAACGATCACATTGGGTTCATATGTTATATACATACATACATACATACATACATATATACAGGGTGAATTGCTACTCGTGCTACAAACTTCTCCAGTAGATTCTTCACCCTAAAATGAACAAAAAAGTTCATATTGTCCATGGTCCGATTCTCAACCATTTCAGAGTAATTTCGCTTTTTATCGATTTTGAAAGATATCACGTCCTGGCGTCGGAAAATCGTGATATCTTTTAATCTAANATATATATATACGATATATCCTTTTAAGGGTTGCAAAGGTCCATTGGGATTGGAAAGCGATGGTCTTGAAACTATATCTTTGTCAGAGCTTTGGTTTTCTTTTGTGGTGAAAAAAAAGAATTGATTGAAGTGAATATATTATTTTCGTATAAATCGTTGGAGAATATAATATATACAATTGTGAGTAAAATTGAGGTGCTTTCTTCATTTCGTTAGCAGAAATCTCGGGAAGAATTTGAATGTTCTGTTAAACGTTCAAAGCCATTCAAAAGAGGCATCCACCGCAAAATAAACGCGTCGGCCAAGGTGGAAACCGTTCGAATCGCGTTGCCATCCCACTTTTATAAATATTAATGGCAGGAATCTCGGCTGAGAAGAAAGTAAAGCACTCGCACACCGGCCAGAGGAATGAATCCTCCCCCTCAGGATGTCGGCTGGAGGGAGGTGGCAGGTAACCGGCTGGAGAAAGCCGCTTAGTCTCAAATCGGCTTTTGTCCCGTGGTGAGGTGTCGTGTGTTCCATCCAAAAGTGTTTATTTACGTATTACCACCTCAAAAAAGGTAATTTCTACCGAACGATAATTTTTGCTTCTACTTGTTTCTTCCCTTAAACAAACATTTAATCAATATTTTACGCATAATTAATCAACATATTTTTTAAACTTAGAATAGCATTTTTTTAAATTTAAATGATTTATAATTAATTTAAATATTACTTAAAGAAAATAAGTGATTTTACTTATGTTAAAAATATAAATTCTAATTCTCCTGGACTTTTAATTTAAAAAAAATTAAAAATGAACTTTGATTTATTTGTAAATTAAATAATACAATTAACCACATTCTGTGGGTAAAAGCAATAGTGTGTAGAAATTGAGAAAAAACTTAAATAAAAACAAAAGTGGAGAAGCTAACCACTGGTAGCTTTAATTTTTATTTTTTTATTAAATATTACAACTAACCACATTCTGTGGGTAACAAGCAATAGTGTATTGAGATTGAGGGGAAAAATAAATGGAAACAAAAGTGGAAAAGCTACCCACTTGTAGCACTTCATCAGTTTTAATATTTAAAAAATCAAATAATTAAAGTTTTAGTGCTGCTCAACTGAAAATTTTATGTAACAATATTTTGATTTGGCTTAATTTAGATTCTAAAACTCAAAACGAACCACATTCGGTCGTTAACAAGCAAAAGTGTTAGAGATTGAGAAAGAAAAACATAATAGAAACAAAAGTGAAGAAACTAACCACTACTAGCTTCAAATTTGATTTTTTATGGAATTTTACAACAAACCACATTCTGTGGGTAACAAGCAATAGTGTGTTCAGATTGAGGGAAAAAATGAATGGAAACAAAAGGGGAAAGCTACCCACTAGAAGCACTTTTAGTTTTAATATTTAAAAAAAATCAAATAATTAAAGTTTTAGAGCTACTCAACCTGAAAATTTTATGTAATAATATTTTGATTTGGCTTAGAATCTAAAAATTAAAACGATGCCCTGCAGATATAAACCTCAAGTTGCAAGAACAAACACACACTAGTAAACAGGTTTTGCCAATTTTACCATACGCACTTTACATTTTTTTAAAAATCTTTCTACAAAAACGAATGATTAGCAATGCGCTCGTGATTAAGACAAGAAACTGGTACAATAGCGGTTTAAATTAGTCCCCTGAGCCAGTAAATAGTTTTTTCTCCATTCTCTCAATAGCAACTAGTAATTTCATTCAGTTGGCCATTTCATACGTGCTATTATGTTCATGTTCTGCCTTTCTCATCAAATGAAATATTTTCCACTCGTTCCGCCTACGCTCTCCGCGTGCGCGCGAAAACTGAATGAATGAATACTAAAATGTCAGTTGGGAATTGGAGCGTATTGAACAAACCGTTACCTAAAGAGTAAATATTTTAAGGATTCGAAATCTTGCAAACAAATTCTCAAAATATTATATGTTCATAGTCTTTTTTCTAGGTCGGTAGAGTGATGAACCTGTTGCTTGGTTTGTCTTTTTCTGTGGTTAGTCTCGATCGACCGAAACTCACTGAAAATGATGGGAAACCGAAACGCTTTTGACAGACCAAAATAGCGAACACAGGCCAATCAAAATGATAAGAATTTATTCGTTTAGGAACTATTTTAAATGGATTGGCTTGATAAATCTATAAATTAGGACTTCTGTAAACCATGAAGAAAGAAAAAACACAGCATAAAATGAAATAAAATACAATGGGTACCGTTAATCCGAACACTTTCGGTCGGAAAAGAGGATTTTTTGTTGTTTGGAAAATAACTTTTTTTTAAACTTTCCAGTTAAATTTATTGATATTGTGGCTTTGACTGCTCCAAACTCTACTGTCGACTTTGCGCTGAATGTTCATACTAAAATCGAGAGGTGATGGGCATGCAGTTTTGTATTTTTAATTTATACTAACTAAAATAAATTATGGAAGTGATAGGTACATACACCTGTAATTTGACAAATTTTATTCAGAGTTTCACTCAAAAACGTTAAAGGAAATTAAAAAAAATTAAAAATTTAGTGCTAATGCTCACAATTAATTTACTCTGTCCGTCTCACCTCGCTGGTTCCTGTAGGTTGCTTTTTCGAATGCTTTGGATTTTCAGATGCTACTCGGCTTATACTCAACATCATTGGTGTGTTTCAATCAAAAGTGGTAACCAAAACCGTCAGAGGAAAAAAAAGAAAAAATTTAAATTTTAGTGTCAAATTATTTCATTAGCAACCCAAAACCAAGGGTTAAGGCTGTCGATTTGTTTTGTTGACGTACAATTTTTAGTAACTCATAACTTACAATATTTAGTGAAATAAATTGTTAGACTAATCGGCACTATTAATTTACTGGGTCTGTCTATTCTAGCTAAAACCTCTAGTTTGGTCCTTTTCGAACGTTTTCTGTCAAACTCGTTTAGGCTTCTACATATCTTCAGTGGTGGATTTCTAACAAAAGAGGTACCAAAAATCGTAGATGGAAATAGATTTAAAAAAAAATTAAAATTATTCTTATTAAGGCCGTCGGTTCATTTTATTAAAGTTAGATTTTTAGTTACTTATAAAAACGGTTTATACTTTACGTATTGCATTTTACTGGGTCCGTCTATTCATACTGATACGTGAAGTGCAGTATTTCCCGTACGTCTTGGACCGTCATACGCGTTTCGGCTTCTCTTCTTCTTCAGAGGTGGGTTTCAAACAAAATTTTTATTCATTAATGAATATGCAGTGGTGCCGAAATGCATCCGGCAAGCCAAAGCTTCAAAGAAAGCAGACCAAAATGATCCACAAACTATATAACCCTTGACCTTGATATAAATAGTTTAACTGATCGGCACTATCAGTTTATTGGTTCCGACGATGAGAATTGAGTAGTTTGATATTTGCTTTTTTGCACACCTTTTGGTAACGTAGATTCGCTAGATATGTAAAGTGAACTAATCAATTTATTGGTCCGTCTATTCTCGCTGGTACCCTGTGTTCATTGACTCTTAGGCCAACAAACTTTAAACTGAAATTATGTATAATTAGCGAATACTTGGAATTAAATGTTATATAAGCGTATTAACAGATAATTGTTTGTTTAAATATTTAGCGATATCACGTGTACATGCGTTGATGTGAAGGAATGGAGAAAGTTATTATTTGCATAGTTTGAGAATAGCGTATTTGCTTCTTCGAACTTGTCGCTTGAAAAACCTCAAAGGCAAACACAATTTAAAGAAAAAACTAAAACGAATATATTAACTTACATGGTAATGGTTGAATTTTGTGAACTATCGCTGACTTAACATCGAGAACAGGTTTCTGTTGAAGTACGACTAACGGACAACTCCTGGTTGTGAATGACGAGGGGTTTGTGAGAATACTCATGATTTAATGCTGAAGAGGATCAGGTTTATGGTCTTGAATGAAGTTACAAATTTATGCCAACAATTCGCCGAGCTTTCGCGACATATAGTCGCATCATCAGAGCCTGTATTGATCGATGTTTTTGATGATGCGACTATATGTCGCGAAAGCTTGGCGAATTGTTGGCATAAATTTGTAACTTCATTTAAGACCATAAACCTGATCCTCTTCAACATTGAAAAAATCTAGTCGATCCTCTCCTTAACATGTACTCATGATTTAACGAACAAAGCACGGGGGACGAAGAAGATGAAACGCTTCTACCACTTTCGCGCGCTCTACTTACTCTCAGTCATTTGCATGCGAGATGAAAATGACGAAGTCGACTTTTCCTTCATGGTCTATCGTGGAATTTCTTTTAGCCAATAGCAGTCACGACTTAAGCACAGGCGGAGGTGAAATCCGTTTTTACGGAATTTTTCTTCGTAGTGTGCCTCGGAAAAAAATCACACATGAGGGAATGTAATTAAAATGATATATTTTATATACTTTCAATTCATTCCGACCCATTATTTGCCATTTAGTAATCGTTTGGCAGGCACAAAACGCCCGAACAGTGCAAGCAGTGACCAAAAAATCGCATTAGACATATCATTTGAACATTTAGAAGGAATTTTTATGAAAAATACCATGAAAGAACCTTATGATAAATTTGCTATAATTTGACGGAAAAACTGCAGATTCGCAGGCATATCGCACACTGTTAAAAAAAAATGCATGCTGGAAAAGGAAAACATTATTAATTTTGCTCCATTTTCATCTGTATCTATGAAGCCCAAGCTATTTTTAAGTATGTTTCATCCAATTTGGTCGTGCTTTGATTATAGCCAGTTTTGCAAATTTAATTATTAAAATTCTGCTTTTTTATGATTAAGTTATAACTTAGAAGATTGAAAGAATTTTATATTAAAAATCTATTCAAGATAAAGCCGGAAAGAAAAGACTCTGTTCCTTTATCAAACTTAGGAAGAATGTATCCCCTTCATCAGGATTTTAATCATAAATGGTTTCAAGAAAATGAAATTGAAAATGAAATTTATAGTATCAAACATGAGATTTTCAAACTTTTTAAACTCTTAATTATTAATTAAATTCGGTAAATTTAGGATAAATGGGCTCGTTTGTCGGCTGAACTGTATAGGATAACCAGATGGATGTTGTATTTCTCATTCATTATTCAAATTCCTCTTTTTGATGATACACTAGTTTTTAATTTATTTAATTTTTAATTAATTATTAAATTAAATTTGATAAGTATAATAACTAGTCTATGGGGGAAAAAGAAAGATAAATAAACATTATACGTACTTTACTCACATTAAATAAATAATACCTGGTGTGTTTTCCCTTTTTTGACCATCCTCTAGTTTTTTAATTAATTATTTGATCCGGAGATCGTGAAAAACATTTAGTTTAAATGCGGTCTGGTGTGACGTAGATTTTAGAAAAACATTTTCTTTTTTGTGCAACGTTTCAATCTTTATTGAGATCATCTTCAGGGCCTGGGATTTATAAACATTGTTTAAATTTTACAAATACATGTAGGATGTAAAAAAAATGAATTTACACAATGCTGCTTTTTCACATCCTACATGTATTTGTAAAATTTAAACAATGTTTATAAATCCCAG